ATGTAAAAATTTGACTCATAAATGAGTCAAAACCAATAAAAATAATATGCTTACAGTTGCAGTAACAGGAGTGGATAGATAGATGATTAAATATAGAAGCATTCAAAGGACTGATACGTAACTTTAAAATTATTATTTAGTATATTGTTAACGTACCTGCTTTCGTATCTGGAACTCCAAAAATCATTTTTTTCTAATTGTGTGTATATGTATAACAAATATACAGCTGAGATTACACTTGGAAATGATACGCGTTGGAAAAGAAGATACTTGTTTATATATGAAGATAGTTTCGGGATATACAATAGATAGCCAATCATTACAGATATCGTCGAAGAAACTTTCATCAGATATCAGTGTAACATATTTCAGGAATGTTCTAGGAAAACACTTATTTCCCAGAGAAAGCCACCTTCATTAATGGGACAATAGTTGAATGCTTGAATAAAACCACGATTATCCGTGTGCGGATTATCCGTGTGCGGATTATCCGTGTGCGGATTATCCGTGTGCGGATTATCCAGGCTGCGGATTATCCGTGCTATGATTTTCCATTACTCAAATTACATGTTGAAGTTATATCGAAATAGGTTACCGTAAATCACTCGACCTAAACTTTATACGCCGTGAGCGAGACGCATAATGCAATATCGACAGTGCTCGGGAATCGGGAATCGAAAACACTTAGAAAATCATTCCAAATTAAAGAGAAAAAGACAAACAAAAACATTTACTTATTTTAAAATAAATTTGAATGTAAAAATTCGCTATCAATCCGTAGTTACGAAATAGTAGATAACCTCAGTTTCAAAGCAAAACTACCAATTAAGGAACAACCACCCACCAATTATTAAACAGTCCAACCTTTAAACTTGACCCCCGGTTAACAATTTTGACAGCATTTTGTTGTAGAGATTAAATTTAATATGGCTGCTGGCCAAGTTCTTAACGCGATGTTATTTTAGTCAAGGATTCAAAAAATTGCATCACATCGATGAGCACAGGACCTAGCTGGCCCGTTCAACACTAAGTGAAATCGGAAATTAGGAAATGATAAATAACATCAAAACCAATTGTTTAAAGGTTTTATTTCACTGCATTGGAATAATTAATACATATTGTTACTGGCTCGCTTTTCTTCTTAGGTTATATATTAATTAAGACGTTGGCAATTGCATTTGCCCGTGGTTAATAGGTTCTTAGTTTTTCCCATTTTTTGGAAAACTCAACATCACAATTCAAATTCTTTCACCATATTTCCTAATGTTCCTCGCATCGTCCACTTCTCAAAATCGCACAACAAAATCGGAGTACTTGAATTCAAAAATGTTTATCTGGTTTATCGCAGTTGACACCGTTTGCATTCTGTAGAACATAGATTTTGCTTTCTCGATAAGTGCTTACAATTCCACTGAGCAGTCCAAGCTTCCTTTATATTGCTTTCCAGTTAAATTTATTTATTTATTATTTGTCAAGATTTTCTTTCATTTATTGTCTGCTTCTTTTAGTACGACATTATTATGCATTATATATATATATATATATATATATATATATATATATATATATGTATTAAAATATATATTTCTATTTACATTTACAAGTGTGTCATATTTTAGTTATATTGTGATTCAAAAAATAATTAAAATTAACATAATTATAACAAAATGTTAGCAATAGGGATGATGAATTAAAAAAATCACGCAGATTATTTAGTTTAGAATAATTTGAAAATTATACCATACTTAGAAAATCATTATAAATTTAAGAGAAAAAGATAAACAAAAACATTTACTTATTTTAAAATAAATTTGAATGTAAAAATTCACTATCAATCCGTAGAATTATGAAATAGTATATAACCTCAGCATCTACAAGTAACATCTAGTATATAACTCAGCATTTACAAGTATGTCATATTTTAGTTATATTGTGATTCAAAAAATAATTAAAATTAACATAATTATAACAAAATGTTAGCAATAGGGATGATGAATTAAAAAAATCACGCAGATTATTTAGTTTAGAATAATTTGAAAATTATACCATACTTAGAAAATCATTATAAATTTAAGAGAAAAAGATAAACAAAAACATTTACTTATTTTAAAATAAATTTGAATGTAAAAATTCACTATCAATCCGTAGAATTATGAAATAGTATATAACCTCAGCATCAAAGCAAAACTACCAATTAAGGAACAAACACCCACCAATTATTAAACAGTCCAACTTTTAAACTTGACCTCTAGTTAACAATTTTGACAGCATTTAGAGATTAAATTTAATATGGCTGCTAGCCAAGTTCTTATCGCCATGTCATTTTAGTCAAGGATTCAAAAAAATGCATCACATTGACACATACAGCAAAAAAATATATGAGAAATATCATTATGCAAACACATTGAACAATATACATAGTAAGGAAATTTAGTATTGCATCTTACACACAAAATGGAGATAATAGTGCTAAGCAAAAAGTGAAATTAAGACACATCAATTAAATTGTTAAGGTCACAATATCATTCCGAAAATAGGGGAAAAATAATAATATAAACAAAATAATTACCAACCGGAATTTTATGTAATTTCTATATTTTAATATTCGAACAAATGTCAAAAATCCTATCTGGGTATAAGGTATAAGATAAATGTTTGGCACAAATGACCAAAAATATCCAATAAATATTTTCCAAAATTCAAACCTTTTTTCAGTAAAGACAGTCAAGTCAGTCAGATGTAGTTTATGAAATAAATTGTAAAGAATGTAACTCGTCGTATATTGGACGTATCAGTACTTACACAGACGAATTATTGCAAATAAAAACATTATAAGAAAATTAACCTAATATAAAAATAACACTGCAGCATTAGCAATACATTCTTTGGAAAATAACCATTCTTTAGATTTTGAAAATATACAGATTTTAGAACGAGAGTCAAACTATAATGAAATATGTATATTGGAGGTAAAACATATTAAAAAGCAAGCAACTCAAATCAATAACAAGGACGATATCAAGGACCTCCCCAATATATATTATATTTAGAATATATATTAGATTCTTCCTAGTTAGAAAAAATATTTACTACGAGAGACTGGCAGTGAAACAAACCACATGCGCCATTATTCTTAAGTAATTCGTCGCTTCGGTATAATTTTACTTTTATATAATGATATACTGATACTTTTATTGTTCATTGATAATGGAAATTCGGCAAAATGTTTAAAAACAGTAATGTGTTTTATTAATCCCACACCCAAAAACCAAGGAAATTCTGACAAAAATTATATTACATTATATATTGCAAATTGATTGTTCAGGCGCTGTCTTCTGAGATTAGTTCTCGACGTTTCGCCTACACTAGGGGTTGGCATCTTCTGGAGATGTTACTGCTTCGCTTGTAAGCTGAAACTTACTTCAACTTACTAGTCTCAGAAGACAACGGCTTAACAGTCCGAACAAACAGTTTAACAAGTTAGACGATGGCCGTGAAAGCCTAACGCATTTTAACTGTAAATTGAGTTGATTAAACAGTTTTTAACAACAATATTATTTTTCTTTTTTTTATTTACGTAAGATAAGGTTTTGCGTAAAATATCTTTAACAATTCATCGTGCCAAATAATTATTGTGTAGTTTAATCTTTGAAGATTATACATTCTTGATAAGCCCAAAATAAAATGATATGCAAAATTTGTAAAAAATAAATAGATGTATGAAAACGATATCTACAACAAAAAAATAGAATTTCATAGGTACGGTTTTGTCCAGTCCACCCCTGTCGACACATTATCGATTTCTCAATAGCCGCTTGTTCTTTCGATCAGCGATCTGGTTGTCTCCCTTCATTTCTATTTCTTGTTCTCTCTGGACGTTGAGAAATTTTATTTCTCAAAGAGTTTTGCCGCAACTATTACATATTACATTGCATTACATGTGTCAAGTGTGTACAGGCGATTTTGAAACATTAATGATCTGGGATTGGATCTCGTCACAAAATTAACCGAATAAATTGCTATGATTATTTAACAATAAGTACGCAGTGTTTCGATTCTTTCTCAAAAATATACGGTGTGAGAAATATATTCAGTTCAATTTGTGATTGATTTTTTGAGTTCCTTGCTCACTCCATGATGTTATAAAAATGACCAATTTGTTTGCGATAAAAAGACAAATATAGTTATTCGATGTTGAGATATCTCATGTTGGTCATAGACGTCTCTATCACCCTACACTTGCATATATATCTAACCATCTGTAAATATCTGGAACCTGCGTGTTTCTTTTAGATTATCTATATATTTCATTTGTTATCCTACCGAGCTTTTCCGAACGAACCCGAGCTTTTCGCATTGTCTATTCTGGACTTTGGTAGACAAAAGACAATGGACAACACCCGACGGACCTTTTATTTGGCCCTGGTACATCCAGAGTTCTTATGTCAAGGCGATATCGAAATATTCCCTTAGCAACAGTAAGTTCTATATGGAGCAGAGAGTTTGCGCAATACCATTGGAAGTTCCCTATTAGCCATTGGGACGCGCCGCGTTGGAGATGAGAATTTCCCCGGCCATTGTGTGCTGCGTGGTGTATTGAACCCACAGTCTAGACAGGTAGAGTCTGGTAGTACTTGGTTCAACAGATTGGATGACATCATATCTCCTCGTTTAATACACTCCTTTTTATAAGCATGGAGATCTTTGTTGTTGAACTTGGATCCTTTTGTGACATTACAAAAAAATTACAAAAAAAATATCGAAACAAAGAAAAATTCAAAATAGGTATGAAAGGTTGAAAACAACTGTAAATACGTATTTATGATTATTTAGTTGTCATCACTACGGTGCAGAAAAGTGGAGCATTCAGAGCAACACTATATATATATATATATATATATATATATATATATATATATATATATATATATATATATATATATACATAAAGGTTTAAAGTCTAAATTTATATAGTTAAAAAAATAAGTAATAAAACTTACTTTTGTTGATCTGCGAACACGAACTTCCTTAACTTCAAATCTCTCAAAACGATCCCATTTTCGTGGCACACCTGAACCGTCTCCGCGATTTGCCTAAATAGCTTCTTCGCCTCGGATTCCCGGAGCCTTTTTCTCGATCTCACGTAGGAATGTAGATCGCCGTGAGCCTTAGGGAATACCAGGTACAGGTAACGATTCCGGGCTATAACTTCGTGAATCGACGAGATGCGCGGGTGGAAATCCAATTTGTAATGGGCTGACACTAAGGAATGACTTTCCCTCGACACGATCTATAAAAGAAATAAAAAAAAATCAACCAAAAAACCGGAAATACGTATATGTATTATTTTAAGGATTTGTTTTTCTAACGAAATTGTTCATATTTTGGTGAGGAGTAATAATGAAATTACTTCACAAGCTATTGGCCATAAACCTACTTAGTCACAGTATAAAAATATAGTCGAGAGTAATTATTGCATTTGACAGGTAACCGAAATATCCGAAAATTAGTTCGAATTTGTACAAGACATAACCCAATACTGATACATTATACTATTTTTATTATTTCATTGATCTTAAAGCGTACGAAAAAGGGTACCTCTAAAAATTATTCGGTGGCCATTGAATAAGAAAGAAACTGGAGTGGAACACAGATTTTGAACAAGAGAAATTGTTTGAAATTTATAATCAGTATTTTTTGCAGAGGTATGATTTTATTTTTTAAACAGTTAACCATTGAAATTATATTTTTCGGAAAGTAAACGCTACGTGCTGGAAACGCAACGTGCATGATAATATGCCACGACCTTTAAGATGACACAAGTGCATATATTTCAGACAAAGATAAAAAGACGTATCACATTACTTTTTAACAATATTTAACTATATATTTCTACTAGCACACTAGCACATACTAGTAAAAATACTAGCACAAAAAAATGAATGAGAATTTCATATTAGTAAGTTAAGACTTATGTTGCCTAAAGCACCTTCAGAAGATTTTCTCCTCATTATAACTGTCAAATTATCCATTTTATAAAATTTAGAAAATTGATATAACACTTAAGGCCGAATAAAACGACAAAATATTTTAACATTTTCACATAAAAAACAAAAACAAAAATTTTAAATTAGGAAATAATTGAAAATGATTAAAGAAGGAAACCACAAGTAAAAATTTATACGTATGGATGAAAATATTATATATAAATAATAAATAATATAAATAAATAATAAATAAATATCAAAGCTATTGAAGAAAATAATTATACGAAAAATTAAAACACAAACTTACAAGTTTTTTGGAATTAGTTGCCATTTTTACAAAATTCTAGTCACTTAACCTGTCTGTCCGCTGAAACACTGTACCACTATTAAAATGAAGCCACAATATCTACGGATTTGGATTTTATTGAGTACAGAGTCAACTGCAGGAATAATCCTGTCTATAGGTAGTACTTAAAGAAACAAGCTTTATCTTGTCGAATGCATGTATTAAAAATACAAAATGATTCACAAATTTATTAATTATTATTACTAGATACATAAAATAATAAAGATGAATATAAAAAAACTTTTGAAAATGAATATTTGCTGTAAATCAATTAATAATGTGTCTGCTTTTTCTGACCCTTGAAGTTTTCTGATAGAATGTGTTAGATAAAATGATAAACATGATACACCGAATGACGAAAGGACCTGAAGTTATATTGACTATAAAAAGAAGGAAGCTGAAATATTTGGACCATCTCATGATGGGACAAAATACATACTAGGTACTACATAACAGTATTTACGTGAAACTCAAAGGAAGAAGGAATACGGACCGTGTCCGAAGTCAAGAAGTGTGTTTAACTTCCAGGTGGATGATAAAATTTTTGGTTAATGGTTGTAAAATATATTCCATTTTCTAGAATTTTAAGCAAATGTAACTTAAATATGATTAAGCTACATAACCATCTGACTAACTCGAACCAAATAAAGAATAATCAGAACAAATGAAGTTAAAGGATTATAATATAAAGAGACCAAAAAATGTTCCACTGTGTTGGTTGGTATCTATCTAGCAGTACGTGCGTATTAGATTTTAGTTAAATTCATCTTTCGTTACTCTTTAATATTGTTTAAACCTTTCAAACTGTTATTTATTTTACCAACTACGTTGTGTTGCGAAACTTTTAGATTTGAATATACATAAATATTTTGGTATAATAAAAAATTCACCTGTTAACTGAATATAAAATATAAAACTCAATTCAATACAAAAAATCGCCTTGATCAAAATAGTAGTAACCTTTAATATGAACCTTGAAGTAAAGGTTACACCACACACAGCGTCATAGAGCCGCGATATCAATTTTTATTAAATCATTTTAACAGTACTAACACTTCGACGGTCGTATTCGTATTTGCATACCGTTTCTTTGACAATAAGTCATGCGTTAACTGATACAAAAAATTTGTTAAAGGTACTGTTTAACTTATGCTTGTTGAAATAATTTCTCGGTTTCTTTCGAAACAGCACTCATAACAGGGGCGGAGATCCGGTACACTATCGTTCAAAAACGTGCTCTCGCATTGGATCGTTGATCTCGACGATGTATTGTTTTCCATCAATTACATATTTTCTAGACATTACATGATTAATACATATGAATATATACTTTTTTGATCAATAGAAATACGTACGACAGACGATAAGAATGTCTAAAGAAAATGTCTATATATGCCGATATAACAGACGGATTCGACTAGCATGTACTTCATCCTGAAAATTAAAACACATCCTAAGAAATAAAAACAAATAATTTACGATCAATATCATAATATTTATGCAATACGTAATCGTAGTTTTGATATTTGAATGGAATACAGTACAAATAGTGATAAAATCTTAATGGGGATATAGTGGATAGGATCGAAACTGATGTATTGATAAAAATATCAACTGAATAAAAACCATGGATTGGAAAAAGAAGACTTATAAGTCCCTTTATTTAATGGCATGAAAATATTCGAGCAGTATATAGAAAAAACTGGAATGTGAAGACCCAGAACAGAGATAGGTAAAAATAGTTGGATGCTGTATATTTCAATATGTCTACATATTTTAATTGGTATAAGTTTCTAACTTATATTGATCGCTGTCCTTTTTTCTTTTATCTGTCCAAGCGTATATTTGATATCTTTTGATTCCGTGTTACCTGGATATACCTTTTCAACCATTTCTTATGCCATTTTGACTTAAATCAAGTAACCAATATTTGTTCATATTTTAGAATTATTCTTGTACTCCCGATCGCATATAATCTAGCACCAAAAATGTTAACAGTCGATCCTTAGATATATACTTTTCTCTGTAGTTTCTCAATATCAAAGAATAAAAAGGAACCTTGGTTAAGACATTAGGATTTCCCAAGCAATTGTAGATCACCGTCGTTAAGAAATGATTTATATTTTTACCGTCCTTCCTTGATAGTCTTTGGGTTATTGTGCAATATTTCTATTCCGAATGCTAAAAATTTTGAATCCCTGGTTTTTTTACATACGTTTACATATATTTACATATTATGTTTCAGATAGTTTTTGGGTACATACGAGTTTTCCTGTTCAACTGTTTTCTTATGACTTTTTTAACATCTACAAGATACTATAGCAAACTTGCGATAAACGTTTAAGATTACTGTAATAATGCTGTAATTTCTGTATAAACATAATGATAATATTCGTCAATTTTGTAACAATTTCCTTAAAGAATGAACCAGTGCACACGGCCCTGATGCTAGGTAAGGCTCGAGATGTTGCCATATACGGCGTTCTAATACTAGTAACGTAATAACAGATGTATTATTAGATCACAGTTTGCTTTGGAAATTATTCGGTCGTTTCGTTTAACGGGCGTTATTCTAAGAATTCTTGAGAGGCATTTTAAATTTCATTATTAATTATATTGTCAGTAGGAGTGAACTGGAAAGAAACATATTGCAGCAAGATAAAATGTCACAATATCATTGAATCTATAATGAAACTGGAATTACGTAAGAAAAAGTAGATTTGGTTCAATTTTATCTATACAGAGATACTGTTGCACTGCTATATAATTTGAGATATCAATCTTATAGAAAGATAGATAAGATTGAGGCAACAATCTTATAGAAATGTCAAATCTGACATTATAGTCACACAGTTTGACATTTTAATAGAGCATTTTTCGACAAAATTCTATTCTATTTTTGTAAAGATCTCCCAAAAATTTGTTTTTGTAACATAAACATTCAAAACTTTAAGTGGACTTAATTACGGTATTGCTCTCGTAGAGTCTTTTGATACTGTTTGGTTCCATTTTTCTGTTTGGTTTCTATCAATCCATTATATAAAAATGAAAAATGCATATGGAGAAATAGAATTTATTTGGTATTTGAAATAATGATATCTAGTGGTTGTTTATAGAAATGTTCCCGTATGAATCTCGAATTGAATAATCAAGATAAGTGGTGTTTTTAAAATGGAAACTTTAGACAATGCACTCCCACAGCTCTTTATTCGAAAATACTATGTGAACTTGAACTTATCATTTGCCGACCAACAATTTCCCCTAAACATTAATCTCTAGTTTCAGGTTCTTTATGCTCAATAATAATGTGAGCTCACGCAGTCTTCTTGCAAGACGGAGATAGGGTGGGTGAATCGAAAGGGTTATTTACCCATTTAGTCGTAAGCCACCCCCCGACTCGACTAAAAATTGCGAAGAAATTTTCCCATGGCCTTTCATAATGGTTTCTTTCAAGAATGACAAATGAGTGTAGCTTTAAGTGCGGCAGGAGGGCGAGGGGACGTGTGTTTTTATTCGCAAGGTGAATTAATAAGGGGTGTATTCAAATTAACCATGCCGGGGACTAATGGAGTATTAAGATAAACGTTTTTACTTTGGGATAAATTGTTGGAAACGGTTCTTTTGGACAGTAAATAATGAGCCACTTATAAACCCTTTAAAAATACATTTTATCATTTTTTCAAATAATAAAAAAACAATGAATGATGAGATGCATATTTTCATTTTACGGTTATTTATTTTTTTATTTAACGTTTTTTAATCGCCATCCATAATAGAATACACGCTAAGCTGGAGATGGGCATTAGTGATTCCCAGTTTGGATTTCGGAATGAAGTGGGCACCAGAGAGGCACTATTTTCTTTTAACGTGCTGGATCAAAGATGTTTGGATGTTAATCGAGATCTTTATGTATGCTTTATAGACTACAACAAGGCATTCGATAAAGTAAAACATGAC